CAGAAGGAGCTAAACTTTGGTACCTTGATGTTCCTGGAAGCCTTTACCTTGGAAATTTAACCTTGGTGAGGAACTAGTCCCTACCTGCAGCAGTGCCTACCTGTGCCAGGAACAACCCAAGCAGCAGCATCTCAGCTCCTGTGCTGAAGTAAGGTAGTTTATACCATCACCCTGACTAACAAAAGGCAAGAGAAGGAACACAGGGTCCCTTACAGACAAAGCATCCCTGCCAATCCTGAATGTCAGCTGGAAGATGCAGTTTCCATTCCCTATCACTCCTATGGCAACTTGTCTGAATCTTACATCCCCAGGGCATCAGGTGCATGCTGTTAATTAGGGCACTTAGCATTTCCCTCCCCCCCAGGACCTCCTGACACAAGATTGCTAGCAGCTGGAGAAGATTATGCCACGGTTCCCCCTTGCAATGCAGCAATCCAGCAGAGAGGCATAACTCATAGGTCAAGTGACGCAGGGAGTTTGTCCAGCTCAGCAGTGCTGGGATGAGGGAAAGCCTTGGCCAACAGCACGATTTTCTTTCATAAAAAGCCATGGATTTTTCACATTTGGCTGTGCCTTGGGTTAAGCAGATGGGAAGTCAAACTGCAGCCTCCAAACCCCAAGGTTTAAAGGTGTCTGGATCTAGGGTTTTGGTGCCATATTTTATAGAATGTGGATATTTGCAAATTATGGATTTGGACTGATGGAAGCCTGGATGCAGATATCAGTCGTTAGGAGGGCTCAGGGACAGCTTTTTTTTTTTTTTTTTAATTTTTATTATTATTTTTTTAATGCACATCTGGTTTTGAGGGCCTCAGGTGACAGGTCCAAATGTCTAATCTCAGGGATGAGACTGCTGTAGGGATTTGGCCCAGGGCAACAGTCAGTGACCTTTTTTGGGCTGCAGGCTGGAGTGACCCAGTTCATGGCAGAGGAAGGCAGGCACTAGGACTCAACCTTCTGCACTATTTTTCCCCGGGGCAGCACAGAGACAGCACCCACATCTGGTACTTCTGGGACCAGTATGGGAAAGTGGTTGGTGGTAAAGTCCTCCTTCCCGCCCCCCTCTGCCAAATGCTGCCAAAGTCCCATGTCTGTGGCCTGGATCAAATGGCTCCACAAGCCACAGGTTTCAAACTCCTTCCAAACTCAACATAAAAATGCAAATTCAAGACCCAGACAACTTACAAAACAGCAACTCAAATGTATCTTGCTTTTGTTAGCCTGAAAGGCATTCTTCATCACACACTATCCAGGGAAACCTCCATGAGAACTCAGCTCTGTGATGAAACCATTTAATTTGAAGTCTCATAAATAAGACATATGGCAAGGCATTAGGGCAGTAAATTTTGAATGTAAGCATGGAGCTTCAAGTGATAAGCATAACGTAGATTCAGGCCCAATTATGGCAAAACCTCTGGATTTATGGTAGGATCTCATTGCAGTGTATTTATCTGATTGCTCCATACAACTGGACTACGTACAGGTGTCAAAGGGCCATATTTATAATCTGTTGCCACCTAGATGGGTTGCTTTTGTTTGATAATGAGACTGCTGCTATTCTTGGGATGTATTACACCACTGAAAAATGAGAGAGAATAACATGGCAGAGCCGTTCCGTTTTGGAAGGTGGGTATACATTTTCTCAACTTTAATAAGAGCAATTCATTTTAACAAAAAATGTGTCTGCTAGCTAAAGACCAATAAAACCTTCCTAGGGTGAGGCAAAAGATTAATCTAGTTTTTTTTTATTAAGTACTGCAGTAAAAATAAAATAAAACAAAAAAACATGTATATATGTATGACACCCCATGATACTGTACATATACCTAATGGGGTGTCTTTAAAAAATTGCATCTATTTCAACATTTTAAACAGCTCTTACATTTCTACATCCTTAATACAAATCTCACAGCACTTAAGTTATTACTAACTGGATCTGAGGTACTGCTGGAATTCTTTGGTTTTATATATAAAATGTGTGTGTGGATGTGTAGAGAGATATCAGTATGATATATAATTAGGTTCTTGCTGTGGGCCTAAGAACAGGTCTGCAGGAGAATTTGGGACTAGAAATCAAATGTCCTAACACCTCATCCTGCACATGAATCATTAAGAGGTATTTGTTTCCAATTATTTTTTTTTTAATCCAATGCTTTTTTTGCCATGAATTAATACTGATAAAAGCAAAAACTGCTGTGAATGCAGAAGCAGCATCACTTCTCACCACTGCCAAGGTGTGTGCAAAGCAAAATGTTAACCCACTGGTCTTACTGTCAGAATTATGCTGATATAAGTGAACATAAACAGCAGCCATAATATAAAAGGAAGTAAACATAATGCAGTCACATCCCATAAACACACACAGATAGACTAAGATCAAATGACATAAGGCTGATTTTTGCAGAACAGCATTTCCTACAACCGATCTGTATTTGTACGGAGAGGTAGCTGGCCGAACACAGCTCTAACGAGGCTATTTTTTTTATAAGACTTCAATCCTGCCAAGATTTATTCTCAAACTTAACTGCAGGGACAGTAACAGTCCTGCTGACTTCAGTTTCTACCACCTGTAAAATCAAGTGGAAATCTTTCTAAGATAAGGTCTTGTGTTTTTACTACAGCCACAGTGTCAGACTCCCACACACTCACTAAATTTGGATCCTACCCTTCTCCACAGTCTGCCCTTCTGAAATCCATGGCATGACCTGCAGAGGAAACCTGTTCATTGCGAGGCAGTGTCTCTTCCCGGGTACAGTGCTAAACTGGAACTAAGGGGACTCGAGCTCTATTGCCAACTCTGCCATTGCCCTGCTAAAAAATCTTGAGCAAGCTGTGCTTCAGTTGCCCTATCTGTAAAATGGGAACCATGATACTGACCTCCGCTGGAGAGTGCTTTTAGATCCACCGATAGAAAATGAATGAGGGTTCAATAATAAAAGGTACTATTAAAAAGAATACAGAGGAAGTGAAGGGAGTTCACATGATAAGATAAATTAATCTAGCAAAGGATTAGATTCCAGTTTTTATTTCAGAGTTATTTAGATGGCTGAGTAATCGTCACCGTTACTGGAAACAGGGGTGATACTTCTGCAGTACTCAGGTTACCCAGCCCTTGATCGACTACACGGGCTCACTATTGAAATGACTTTGGAATCAATGTTACACTTGTGTTATGCACAGAGGACTTGCCCCTGACTGTCAAGGGAACACATCGCACTTTATGCAAAAATATTTTGAATGGTATGCTAGGAAATGACCTCTCTCGTCAACTCCACACAGAATGACTGTGCTTAGCACAACCACTCTGCTGTCAGTGGAGTTTCCTTATTATTCAGATGAAAGGCAGCAGCTACAGCGGCGAGTGCAAGGTACCATATGTCTTCAGAGAAGAACCGATGAGATAAAACAAAAGCAATGTTTAACAATGACATTTTGTACTGCTGGCCCTTAATGAAGGTGTGATCCTCACTGCAAACCTGGCTGGAAAATTTGTATTGCTCAAATACCTCATAGGAATAATAAAAAGGCCCAACCAGACAACAAAACAAAGACTTGTGGTGATCCCTGACACCTATATGTGAAAGGGAATAGTTCAGGAAGACGGACTTTTCCTCTCTACCAACTGGCTCCCCCCATTTGCATGCTAAAATTCATCAGCATTTTAGGCTGCTCTACTTGGCTCAGCACTGATCCACCAAATTGCAAGGAGCCCAGCACAGCAGCAGCCATCCCACAATGCTGGGACACCCACAGAAATGGAGGGTTTCAACACCAATTCACATCGCTCTTTGTTTATATTCAAGAGAAATGCAACACTGATGCAAACCAGGGCTTCTCCCTTCTTGCATGTTTTTTGAACTCCTAGACAAGCCAAATTTTGTCAAAAAGATTTTTGTTTAAAAAATCCTTCTTTTTTTCTTTGCTCAGAAAAAACAGCTGGCTTGTAGTAATGGGCTTACTCTGAGCACTGGATTACTCACTTTTACTCATGATGAATGACAGTTCTCATACAAATACTCCAGTATGAAACACACATCCAAAATTCAGCCCAGCCCTCCTTCCATCTACCTGCTTAGTATAGTGCTAGGAAAGTGCCATTGCCCGTTTATCTTCTCTCTGAGCCACACATGGTTTCCCATGCAGCAAATCACTGGGGAGGCAGTTTAAAATGCCCAGAGCCATATGAAAGGGTTGAATAGTTGTCCATGAAATTTTATATCAGTCTGGGTGGTGTTCAGACCAATCCACAGAGTTTCTTCAAATTCAAGATGTGTGGCATGAATATGTGCTGATATTAAATGTTTCTAATGTAAAACCTTGGACTTCAGAGCCAGGGTGCAGTTAGCCTATGTCAACGATTCCCCAACCAGGGTGCCACGGGAACTGTGGGGAGATAAGCAGGTAAGGGCAGGCTCAGGCTCTCCCTACCTGGATGCTCCCCTGCCCCCACTACCTAGCCCCTCTGCAAGGAGGTAAGCACCGTAGTAAGTTAAGTGTTTTTGAAATGGGGTGCCACTCAATTCACAAAAGTTATTGAAGGGTGCCTTAAGTCAGACCAGGGGCATCTTAAGAGTAAAAAAAGTTGAGAACCACTGGCCTACCTGCCTATATGGAAAATTCCTTATGACCTTAACCCAAGTCTTCTCAGGTATACTCCAAGGTTGGTATTTCTGAATGCATCCATGCTCATACCAGGATCTCTTCGCCTGTCACCACGTCCTGTCATGGTTTAAAGAATTAAGGCCCAGAACTTCCCAGGTACTATTCATGTACTTAAGAAGTATGTAAGCAGTCCCACTGACTTCAATGCAACTGCTCCTGGGTTTCAAGTTAAACATATGCGTAAGACCTTGCAGGGTGGGACCCTGATTCCCTGGGCTACATTAGTCAGAAGAACATGCTACAGCTTACCAACATGTTCACTGTTCAGTAGCCTATCTACTGATGCCTCACAGGCATGCTGGGGTTAAAAGTGATTATCTTATTACAGACACACTTACCTTTAATAGCAAAAACACCATGGCAGAAATCCTTAAAGTTGATTCTCCCCAGGTCATTTGGGTCCAAGTATTTAGCCAGTTTTTCCACCTAAAACAGAATAATAAATGTTTATTGTAGGATTCAGATTTTTATGTCAGTCAGTGTCTCAGAAATAACCAGTTTGAAACATATCTGCAGCACACATTTGAAATATAAATATTGGGTAAAAATACATATACATGTAGCCAGAACTGTGTAATTTCCTATGGCATCAAATGTAGGAGAGACTATCTGAAAGGCATGAGAACATTAAAGGAGCAAGAAGCTTAACATGACATGAGCTTAATTTTGCTTGGTACTGTACCATTTTCTATAATCTTAGTTCATGGTTTAACAAGTCTGATATAAGTTATTACACTCCATAAATGAGATCACAGTAGGTATAGCAAAGTGCATGTGCATTTAAAATGAGGGAGGTATTTCACATCAAGGAAAACTTGAAAGATTTTTCAGGGGGATTTGAGGAAAAAGAGGGAGGGAACTCGCTAAATGGGAAATGGCTCTGTGTCAAGGAGCTGGCATGAAAGAAGGCACAAAACTAAGAGTAGGAAAAGGACATCAAAGAAGCAAGCTGATGATGAGAGAGGCTGAAGATGGAAGTAGGAGAGTTCAGTGAGGCAGGGACTGGGGAGACCTGGGCTTTATTTCTACCCCTGCAACTACCCTGCTGAGTGAACTTGGGGAAGTCGCATCACTCCTCTGTGGCTATTTTCCCTTCTCCCCCTATCTTGATCTATATAACAGGCATGGATTGTCTCCTACTGTTTGTATGTACAGTGCCAGCAGAGTGGAGCCTTGCTCTGAATTAGGGGCTCGAGGCACTGCTGTAATAAAGCCTGTGGAAGGCACGAGGGCAGGAATATAGGGTGGTACAAACGTAAGCTCAAATGTGTCCGTTTGAACAGCAACAAAAACCCAGCCAGAAATATGTGCAGCAAATGAATGCTAGTGACCCAGTTTTTCAATTTTCTGGTTTCTTAACATGCTAGAAAAGGCCATCCAGCTGCATTAATGTCTGGAACTTCCTTCTCTGCAGTTATTTTTCCATCTACGTGCCATGTAACAATGCCACGTGTCCCTCTGACGCGACCTCATTTAGAACAATGAAATCTGGGCCTAATGAAGACGATGAGGAAAGCAGGAGGCAACAATGCGATGGGTTGTTCCCCCGGGTTCAGTCTTCCATCTTCCCATGGAACGTGCATCTCTGAATAGCCTGAAGACTCAATGATGCCGCACAGAGCAGCACCTCAGTGCTATCTAGCAAAACAATTAAGCACCCACAGCTGTGTATTAAGCAGGTATTTAAGGGCTTTGCTGAATCGGGACACTGGGTAGTACCTTGAGTGGTGTTAAATACGCTGGATGGATAGACTGCACTAAACAGCAGGCAGATGAATGGGTTGGTGTTGTTTTAGACAGATTTCATTAAGAACAATGTATTAATGACAGCTGCGTGAAAGCTGTTCAGCCTATCATCTCTATACAAGGCAGGCATCCCCAGTTAATTGAATTTAAAAAATCCGTTCATGTTATTAAGTATATAAACATGTCTTTTGTCTGCCATTACACATCTGACAACACACACAACTATTTATAACTGGTGTGTGTTCTCTATCAAATGTTGATCCACTTCCCAATTTCACAGTGCTTAAGAAAACATTATCTTTATTCTGCACGTGGGAAAAGGAAGCACAGGGGTATCAAGTGACTTGTCTCCAGTAATACTGTAAATTAGTAGCTGGACAATGAATAGAACCCAGGAAAGGGGAAAAGAGGCCCATCTAAAATGCTACAGTGATGCACACCCTGTCTATCACTGCATAACAGTATCTATCCTGTGCACCCAATAGGTAACATGGGTAAGGTAACTACTAGGCAAGCGGACCAACCATGACTGAATTTGGAAGACTGATTGCTTGCCCATAAGCATCTCTCTGCAGTGTAAAAAATGCAGGGTGCAGAATGGCAGGGGGAGAATGGAAAATTCTGAACTTCAGTGAAACTCTCTCTCTCCTTACCATCTGTTTTATTTTTAACAAAATCACCTGCCACTCCCCTTGTGCATCTGAGAAGGAGTTGTAAAATGCATTTTCATCAGGAACAAGTAAAAGTAGAAATCTTACAAAACTCTCTTATCATGAAAACCTTCAGAGATATGCCAGCGAGTACTGTCAATCTGACAGCAGAATACAGCAGCCAGCCAGAACCATGGACAGCACACAACAGGTTTCACCCAGAGCGAGTTTCTTACAGCAGCATTTCTCAACCCATGGGTTACAACCCAAAAGTCAGTTGCAAGAATATATGAAAGGGTCACAAGCAAACTTTAAAAATGGATTATCCTTTAAAGGAGAAAAAACTAGGAAACTGGCTTTTCCCTCGCAGGCTGGCAGAGGTCCAGCCTGCAAGGGACTATTTGGGGGTGCCCCCCCACCAGGCTCCACACACCTGGGGGCTGGGGCTGGCCATTAATGTTTACAAATGGGTCCTGGTGCAAAAGGTTGAGAACCACTGTGTTAGAGGAATTTAATACACACGCCTATTTGACATCATGGGAAGCAGAATAGTTTTCGTGGTTATAGCAGGCGTTGAGTGTCTAGGAGTCACAGACTGTGACCTTTGTGTGTGATTCACTGTGTAACCTTTTTATGCTTCAATTTTCCCATTGTAAAATGGGGCAATAATTATCTCCTCTCTCAAAGGCACAGTGTGAGTATTAACATACTGATGTACATGCGGTGCTCCGAATCTTCAAATAAAGAAAGGTTTTATGGAAGAGCAACAGCAATGTTATGTAGAAGATAGAGCAGCAACAGGGTATATGGACATAAGTTAGATAATGTAATAGCAATACAACTGTTATGTCTGCTCACTCTTATACCAGCATAAATGGACCCACACCTATTTTGTTTAAGTTGAAAGTTACCCAGGTGTAGCACACATATCAGGACAGACATAAAAAATAGATCAGAACACCTTATGCATGCTCCCCACCCTTTTAAAATGATTTAAGGGTGCATCTATTCTCTAGGACTCCAGAGACTTGGGTTCTACCCCCAGCTCTGTGGCTGACTTATTTATAAGACCTTGTACAGCTCACTTAACCTCTCTGCACCTCAGTCACTATAGCTGTAAGAAGGGGATAATATATACACCTCAAATTCTAGAGAAGAACAACACTACAATATACCTACACAAGTGTCGTTATTCAGAAAGAAAAACAACACAAAGACATGAAATGCAGATCAATAAGACTGCGATGTAGTCAAATGACTGTTCATTTGAAACAAAGCCCAATAAGAAGCTTCAGGCAAACCTAAAGTAACTAGAGGTAAAACTTTCCTGGTGACCTAATTTCTCTGTGTTCCCATCGCTCATTCTAGCAAGTGATGAGGCTTGGTACCACTGCTGATGAAACAGCAAATCATCAGTTCTGTGTGGGATGGCAGGAGAGCGAGGTGAAAAACTACTTTTCCTCCAAATCTCAGCTTGACTAATTTAATTTTAGCCCAGAGGGGAGCAACAGGAAGCCCCCCCAATGTGCCTCTTTGATCTCTGCTTAGATACAGATTTTGGGCAGCATCGGTTCCCACCTGGAATCTCCAGGCACATGTTTTATTCTGGATCATCAGAAGACACGATTCACATTTTGCATTCAAAGGGCTGTGGGACCGCCTTTCCTTCCCCCCCTCCCGCCGAACTGCTGAACATAAGCTGCCTACTCAGATTACACATTCATGCAAATCATAACCACATCTTGTGCTGCTGGTCCACACTGTACTTGTTATAGAGGGGGGAGTAGGAGGGGCAAAACGTCTGAATTTGTGCATTCAGCTCACGTACCAAACCTGCGTGAAATACAGCTCTCGGCATACACGAATTCACCCAGAGATCAAGCAGAATCTGTGAACAACACCATAAAAGAGAAGCCATATTTTGTTCAGACTCCTATGGCTACAGAACGTCAGGCTGGAGACGCATCTGTCTGCTGTAACTGGCACTGTGTGCACATCCCTCTTCTAACAGGCTTGTCATAGATGAGGCAGTCGAAGGAAGCCATGTGCACTGGGCTAACGTAAATCAGATCAGGTTTATTGCCAAATGGCATGAAGCTCCCTGATGCGCGGGAATGCTATGTCCCCTGTCCAACATATTTTACAGCGTCAAAATGCCTCCTCCTTTTGAGGCATGATAAATACAGTAATATTGTTATATGTGAAAGCAGAGAAGGGGGGTGGGGGGGGCACGAGAAAGGCAAGCAGCAAGCATGCAGCCTCCTTTACCAGGTACTTTTAGATCAATTTTACTGTCCTGAATACAGCCTGGTACAGGCATGAACACAATCACCATGCATCTAAATGCATAGGAAATAAAATGTTGGGTCACAACATACCTGAGCAGCACATCCCATATTGTTCCAATTATAAATTGATCCTGCATATAAGTTGACCCAACAATTTCAGGTTCAACTTTAGGAAACGAAACAGCCACTTCCCCTTACTGTAGTCATTCAAGACCTCCAAATGTTATTGTCCTTACAATACCACCCAGGAGAATCAAATGACCATGGACACGAATGCACTAAAATAGGACTTAAATAAAAAACTGCACTGAAAACATTTCTGACTTGGTGATTTTATTGCAAGCATAAAAATACTGCAGGCACACAAGTCAAGACTGTAGGGGGCCTGACTTTAGTTTGACTCCATATGTAAATCAAGTGCCTTTTTATGGTCCTAATGAAGGACAAACAGGTGAATATACAGTCAGAACAACACAATAACCAATCTAGAATTCACCGTACAATTCTCTGTGACAAAAAGACATAGTTGCAGGTAAGCTTTTCAAGAGTACCTAAAGCCTAGTTCCTTAAAGTTATTTAGATACTGAACTGCCTTTGATTTCAGTGGGAGTGAGGTGTGTAAATATCTTTGAGTGTTTGGGACTGAATTACTTTAAAACATAAAATCTCATTTTCAAAAGAGATTTGGATGCTTTTAAAATTTCACTCTTTTCTCTCCACCTATGATGGCAAGAAGCATCTTGGACTTCCTTACCATGCTGCTCATATCAGCTGTACCAAAGCACATGCCACTTCTCAGATCCATTTATATATAGCCTAGGCCAGACTATCACAGGTGGTAGAAATTCAGAGCACCGGGGAAGTCTGATTTTCCAACACAGTGTTCTGCAGCAAGGAATCAGATCCTCCACCCCAAATCATGAGAGTAGCTTAAAAAAAAAAAAAAAAAAAAAAAAATCAGAGAGATTTCATGATAATACATTCTAGAGTTTTTTCATTTGGCTCTGGGCTTTGTGCATATAGGGATCATGCCTTTGTGCTTTTATTTCCAAACATGAGGGAATACATAAATGTACATTTTTTTTTTAAATGAAAGCTGAATTTTTCACAAAACATGACTCCAGAAGCTGAGACCTTACAGGAAAAACAAACAGCTAGTGCTGGTAACACCGGAAATCGAGAAGTCTGTCCTAATTCACAACAGCTGAGGATCTGACACCATTCACAAAATATAGCTCTTTTAACAAGACATCAATATGGCTTGTGTGAAGTACAAGGCAGGCTGAAAACAATCTTCCTGAATCCAATTAAATACAACTGCCTTCAAAACAAGAAAAAAAAAAACATTCCTCACTTTACTGGTATCAGAGAGTGTCAAAGACATTACAAAAAGCTAATGAATCCCATCTTCAGGTCCTGTTTTTAGGTGTACCTAAATCAGTTTAATCACACTCACTCAGCTCAGCCATCAGGGGCTTGTAGCATCAAGGTTCACAACAGATGCAAAGCTTCCTGTCTATTAAAGGACTATAAAATGAATGACTCAATCATCAGCCGACGTAAATCAGCATAAGCCATAGGCTTCCATGGCTCTACAATGATGCGTATCCTACCTACGCATCTGACACCTGCTATATACAGGAGAAATATCTAAGCAGACATAAGTCTTTCAGGTTATAAGATCAGTGCCTATCCTTCTCTGACAAATGGCAACACTCCATCACTGCTATGTTAGCAAATGCCATTTCAATTGCTCATCAGTTAGGTAAATTCCCTTTCCTTGCAGGTGTTTTGCAAAGAGGCAGGAACCTGCATTCTTGGTTTTAACTTACAAATTCCTGCAACCAGCCAAGACACTTCTGAACAATTTAATATTGTGCTTCAGCACAATAATATGACTGTATTCCCTCACTGACACTGGCTTATTCCTGAGAGCTCCCCACTGTTCCAATGGTTTTAGCTGCCAGTCTCTTGACCACACAAAATTACATCCCTGAATCAGATCAAATAAAAATGCATAAGCTGAGGTGTATGGATTCTGAATGAATAAAGCAGTGCATTAGTATTTACTAGAAAGCAAAGCTTACAGGAAATGAAATTACTCGAGCAACTTGCCTCTGTCTGCAGGTTCATCTTACAAATAAGAATCTGTGAACTTAAATATAAGCTCTAACTTACAAGAGGTCAGAGGTAATGTAGAAAATAAAGATATACAATGGTAGATGAGTCAAAGCAAGGAGCTACAAATAACATGATGAAATTTAAGCTACACTCACCATGCTCTCAGCTGCAGTAAATCACTACAAGTCAGCAGAGCTACTGGAGTTGAAGCTGGACACCTGAATGCATTTATAGCAGATTTCTGAGTGGAAAGGCACTCATTCTGCTTCAGCTTTTCAGAGTTCCCACTACATTAAATGTCTGCTGCATACTTTGGATCCAACAGTATGTTACTCCATTGTGACTCCACTGATTTTAATGATGTCAAACCAAACCAGCTCAGAACTGAATGTAAAAAGAGAGCATTTGTGATGCGAAGGGACTTTTTCCCTGCTCTGGCCTGTAAAACCCCATCTGTTCTTTATGGGATTTCCTCAATTGCTGAACATTAGGACATAAGAAACTTAAAACAGTGCAATGCTCCTCCAAGGTTGTTTTGCATCACTGCAGATCCCCCCTGCCTTCACTAGCAACTAACTGTAATTGAAAACGGTTGGTTTGACAATATAGGCAGAGTTCCTCATATGGAGGAAAATGCCCACTGGAGCCTGGTTTACAAAGCTCCTTTTTCCCTTCTCTCTACTGAGCTTCGTGTGGCTTGGTAGGCACAGCAAGTTCACATGCATTTAGGTATGGAAATTGGAAAAGAAAGGATGGGTGGTACTCAAAGGAGCAATGGTAGGGGAACGCAGGGCTGTTGGTTGTAGTTGTGTTGGTCTAAGGACATAGGTTCTTTGGGTAGATGTGATATCTTTTGCAAGCTTTTGGGCACAAACACCCTTCATCAGGCATAGGGAGACTCTGCTGGTGTTTTTTGGTCTCCAAGAGAGAAAAGAAGCCAATTTACAACAAGCATTTCTGAAAATGCAAATGAGTTGAAATTAGGAAGACAATGGGTAGAGATTGTCAATGGGTTCTACCTTGGAGAACACAATAACCCCAGCAATCTCTACTCATTGTCTTCCTAATTTCAACTCATTTGCATTTTCAGAAATGCTTGTTGTAAATTGGCTTCTTTTCTCTCTTGGAGAACAAAAAACACCAGCAAAGTCTCCCTACGCCTGATGAAGGGTGTTTGTGCCTGAAAGCTTGCAAAAGATATCACATCTACCCAAAGAACCTTGCCTGCCTAGTAGAGGAATGTGACTTCCAGGTGCCAAAACTCAGCTCTTAGTTATAATGGGATAAATCCAGGGCAACTCTGCCAACTTCCATGAACTGCTTCGATTTGGACCCCACAGCACTGCCTCCTAAAGAGCCAGAATGCAAACATCAAACTAGCAGCCTGTCTAACCTGCCAAAGCTAATATTTTGAGAGCTGCGACTCATGAGAATAATAATGGATGCTTGAGATGGGAAGGCTCCTCGTGCAGATTATGTTTCCTTTTTTCCCCCCTTTCCTTTCCCCCCCCCACCCCAACTAGCAGAGTTAATTCCAATTAATTCCACATGGAAAACGAAGGGGCTACTGGGATAAGCTGAATGTGTAGCTGTTACCATCAAAATGAACTGCTATTAAAGGTAGCCTAAATCCTCCCAGCTGTCTAGATTGCAACTATTCCTCCGCCTTGCTTTGTAGATAAATAGTGTCCTATCCTCCTCATACTCCGAGGAGTACACTACCAGCAATTAATCAGTCTTTGTGTAATGGCAAATGCTGTTGAGATGACAATGATTATTTATTACCTTGGAAAAGGTTAAAGACCTAACAGACTTTGTGACATTGAGTCCTTTTTGTTCCCTGTGATGCAGGCTTCTTGGACACAGTGTTATGCTATAATCTAAAAAAGCAGAAGCCTTTCAGTTCTGTTAAGGAAGGGGGTGAGGCAAGCTGTTTATGCATGACTGGAGCGAACAGACTGTGCTGGCCTCAGCTGTAATCAGCTGCTGAAAGCTTTCCCTCTCCTCCTGCAACTCTGAGTTGTGACACTCACTCCAGCCCATTGCAGGGACATGACATTAAAAGCATCAAAGAGCAGAGAAAATTCCTTATTAAAACCCCCCGTGATATTGATTTTTGGGAGTCATTAAGCAAATGTCTTGGAGCCATTCCTACCTCCAAACTCAGGACAAAAGTCAAAGATTCATGGAACTCATTAGTTTTACTGCTCAGCGTCTGGATCTGCCATGGGAACGGATGGAGAAATAAGAAGGCTGCTATCCTACAGGATCTTCCACCTGTGGATAAGTTTTTAGAAATCAGTCAGGGTCAGTCTAAAAATGCTGAAGATGCATTGCAAAACTCCCCATAACCATCATCATCCATCCCAACTTTACAATTGGAAAAACCAAAGTACAAAAAGATTAACCATCTTACACCTCTATTCACAGTTCACAACTGTGGCACAATCAAGAAGAATACTCATTTCTCCTGACTTCCAGTTCAGTATCTTAAACACAAGGACTTCTGCCACTGAAGTGGAGTGAGGGGTAGGAGGAACATTTTCCTAGCTGAGGATCTGGGTCAAGGACAGTAGGCCACATACTGAAAGGGCAGATTTCGTAAGTGCCATTTTATGTATTATACATTTGTTAAAGGCAAGACTTTGTCTAGGTACCTCCAGGACAATATAGGTTACCTATGATGCACAGCAGAAAAGAAAAGCAATAGCACCTTAGCCAGCTTTGATAATTTTAGTGCCATTTTTGCCCCCACACTGCTAGGAAACCTATTTGTAAAAATGAAGGAAAAATGGAGCAAAGATTCGGGATGTGACGGGAATAATCCAGGCCAGGATTAAGCCCACCGATTACTACCCCATGGTCCTAGTCCACGTGGGTACTAATGATGCGGCCAGGAGAAGCCCCGATCACCTGATGACGGACTACCATGCTCTGGGCAGCGTGCTGAGGGAGTTCGGTGCGCAGGTGGTATTCTCTTCTGTCCTACCAGTGAGCGGACGCGGAAGACAGCACGAGAACTGCATTAGAGAGACCAATTGGCGGCTTCAGCAATGGTGTCTCGAGGCAGGCTTCGGCTTCCTGGACAACGACCCGCACATCACAACGAGGGACATGCTCAGTTGGGATGGGCTTCACCTGTCCCCCAAGGTAAGCGTGTGTTCTCTTCTAGGCTGGCGGATCTCCTCCAGCAGGCTTTAAACTAGGCTCGTCGGGGGGGAGGGGAAGATGAGGGCAGGGGAAGCCGTGGACCACCAACCCATGTGGCACCCACAAGGACAGCCCAGCCTGAAGAAGGAGAACGTCGAGAACCTGCAATCCATGGGGCGGCCAGCGATACAGCACAGGTAAGCAATAAGCAGGTTAGCAATAAGGGGCCCTTTGGGAATCAGAGCTGGGGGGCAAAAAAGGCACCAGTCACAGGGCTCAAGTGCCTATATACTAATGCTAGGAGCATGGGAAACAAGCAGGATGAACTAGCACTCCTGCTTGCAGAAAACACCTACGACTTAGTAGGGCTATCTGAAACCTGGTGGGATTCTTCCCACGACTGGGTGGTACATATTGAGGGTTATAGGCTGTACAGAAAGGACAGGGT